ATTCCCTTACAACTGAGTTAAAATTCCTTACAATATATATATATACAGTATATATGACACAATATGTCTTTATATTGATGGCAACTGGTCTAAAGTTCTTGAGAAAATTCTGAGAAATGTTTACCTCCATATTTTACAGACAGCCAAGACTTCCATTCAGCAAACTGAATCTTATTCATCAAGGTCCTCCAAAACGATTTCGTCTAGACACAGAGAGAAAAGTGCTTGATGAAAATGGGAAAGTCAGAAAATGGACTTATGGGAAAAAAGATGCTAGTAAACAAAACAAAATTGTTCTGCTGGTGGGAGAGACTGGAGTTGGTAAGACGACTCTCATCAACACCATGGTCAACTATTTACTGGATGTGAAGTTTGAGGATGAAATATGGTATGAAATCACAGAAGAAGAAGCCAGAGATCAGTCAGAATCACAAACCTCTGAAATCACCATGTATGAAGTCTTTCCTGTAAAGAGTCCCATATCACTCACCATCATTGATACTCCAGGCTACGGAGACACTAGAGGACTGGATAAAGATCTGGAAGTTGCTGAGAATTTAGCCACTCTGTTTCAGTGCAATGATGGCGTTCGTGAAGTCGATGCTGTGTGTTTTGTGATTGAAGCATCTAAGAATCGTCTCTCAGACAGACAGCATTACATTATAAGTTCAATTCTGTCTTTGTTTGGAAAAGACATTGTGGACAACATTGTGTTTTTAATCACACACTCTGATGGTCTGCCTCCCAAAAATGTCCTCGGCGCCATTAAAAAAGCTAAAATCCCCTGCAGACGAGACAAAAGCGGCCAACCTGTTAATTTCTTATTTAACAACCGGCAGGCTGATGCACTTCACAACGAGGGACGCTACATTCGTGCTCAAAGAGATGCCTGGGAAGACAGCATGGAACAGATGAAGCAATTCCTTGAGTCTCTGGATGAAAAGAACAGAAGAAGTTTAGAGTTGACTTCAAATGTCCTGATTGAACGCATTCGATTTGAAGCATCCATCAGCAACTTACAGCTGCGAATTCAAGAGAAAGAATCAAAGAAGTCTGAAAAAATTCAGATTCAGGAGGCAATGAGACAAAACAAGGAAAAGATTGACAGGCGTACAAACTTTAGCATTAGAGTCAAAAAGACAGTCAAACAGAAGGTTCCCATTGAAAGCAAGTCATGGAAGAACAGGAAAGCGACGACCTGCACCGTTTGTGAGGAAAACTGCCATGAGTTTGATTGCTGGTGGGCTTCTGGTCCCAGCAAATGTGAAGTCATGAAAAACGGCTTCTGTACTGTGTGCACAAGGAAGTGCCACCACAGCAAACATGTCAAAGAAAACAAGAAATACATCATCAGCACCTCAAGCATGATGATGGAGTTTGATGATTTTAAAAAGGAATATGAAAAAGCTCAACAACAAACTAAGAGGTTTTCGGTTATAATGGATCATCTTGACAAAGATCTGCAGGAGATTGAGGACCAAAAGTTAGTTCTTCTGTTCAATGCTTACAAGAACATCAAGAATCTGTCTCAGATTGCATTAAAACCAGACTCTGCCTTCACTCTTCAGCATCTCGACTTCTTCATCCCTAGAGTGAGGGAGGCTAGGAAGGAAGAATGGGTTAGAGAGCTGGAGGAACTAAGGAGAATAGCTGAAGCTGAAGAAGCAAACAAAGATTCTCTGAGTTATCTTAAAGCTGGTCTGGCAAAACTGAATCTGGAAAGTTTCTTTGGTGGGCAATGAACAAATGCATAGAGGAGAAGCAATGAATCAATAAAACTGAAGATCAGTTAAAATGAAAAATCAATGCAGGTGACTTTCTGTAGTCTGAAAAAAAAAGAAATAAATAATAAGAAATTTGATCTGTTTTAGGTATTATTTAAAAGGTAATCCAATCCAGTCTGTTAGTTCATGAACTGTAATAATAAATGAGTGTCAGTTATATTTTGGGGTACCGGATGGTAGTTTCAACAGAAAATGTCACATCTGTGAATGTTAATTTACTCTTGTGTTAATCCTGCTAAAACTCTATTACATTTTATTTTCATGAATTGCTGACGTCTTTCCTTGTTATCTCGTTTGCTTGGATTATGTTATTCCCCTTATTGCATGGCTTTCTCTACATCAAAATTCTTGTTAAACAAAATAAATACAAAAATATGACATTTATATCCTTTCCATTTTCTTGAACAAGCAAGAAGTCTTCCTTAACTTCAGGTTAGTGACAAAATTAGTGAAAGGATGCAAAAGCGCACACACACACACACACACACACACACACACACACACACACTTAAACAGACACCCCTGGCCTGCAGGCATGGATTCTGTCTAAGTTATAAAATGTGACATAAGTGGACGGCGACGACTAGCCGGTGGCCACACAAATGTCACTTATCGAAATCCCGCTGGGCCATGCCCAGGAGGAGGCCATTCCTCTAGTGGAGTGGGGCCTCATCCTTATAGGGCATTGCAAGCCTTCTTAGGCATGAGCCAAAGCTATGGCATCTACTATCCAGCAAGAAAGTCTCTGCTTCGTAACTGGCAGCCCTTTGGAGCGGCCTCAGAATCAAACAAAGAACTGCTCTGATTTTCTTAATAGACTAGAGCGCTTGAAGTACACTCTAAGGGCCCTAACTGGGCAGAGTGAATTAGGATCCTGCTCACCATCTGCAGCGTGGAGTGCCAGGAGGGTGATAACCTGGGCTCTGAATGGAGTTGAGAGCACCTTTGGTACATACCTGTGTCTTGGCCTAAGGACAACTTTACAGTCGTTCTGTCCAAACTCAAGACAGGACGCACTGTCTGACAGTGCATGCAAGTCACCCATTCGCTTAACCAATGCTAATGCCAATAGCAGAGCGGTTTTTAGTGACATGGGCCGCAACTCGGCCGAGTGGAGCGGCTCGAAGGGAGGGCCCTTAGGACTACTGACAAGTCCCAAGTCGGCACAGACTGAAGACAAGGAGGATTTAATCTCCGAGTTACCTTCAAGAACTTAACGATCAGATCGTGTCTGTCGATAGATTGACCAGCTTCGATGGATCGGTATAGCTACCACATAAACTTTGAGTGTGGAAGGGGTGCACCCGTTGTCCAACAACTCTTGTAAGAAGGTTAGAATGTGAGAAATGTCACAAAAGATTGTATCCAGGCTTTGTGTGAATCACCAGTCACAAAAAAACTGACTATTTAAGGGCATAAAGATGTCTTGTAGACAGTGCTCTATCCTCTAAAATGGTGCTGCTCACTCTCACTGGGAGCTGCGTAGTGTCCCGTCGAGGCTCCATACATGAAGGCTCCACAGCTCTGGCCGGGGATGCCAAATCATGCCCTTCGCCTGCAAGAGAAGGTCCTTCCTCAATGGTATCGGCCATGGGGCTGCTGTTGACAGCTGCACAAGCTCGGGGAACCACACCTGATTCCTCCAGAGTGGGGTCACCAGGAGGACTGAGCATTTGACTTACCTGACCCACTTGATGACCTGAGAAAGCAGGGCTATTGGGAGGAAAGCATACAAGCGAGCACTGGGCCAGTCGTGGGCCAGGGCATTACGGACCCCAGATGGCGCCAACTTGAATCGACATGCACAGCTGCCAAAATTTCTCTATATTGTAATCATTATCACACTTGTAATAATCACTTTAATGAGCTTATGCCTGAAATTAATTCATGTTTGCTAGAAGAATTCTATGTATGATTCTATTATCTTGAACTGTTTATTTGTGAAATGAACATTACTTGGACACACTCACTTCTGCTTTGTAATGTAGACACATTCATTTTCTGTAAAGCTGCTTTGAAACAATGTGCATTGTGAAAAGCGCCATACAAATAAATTTGAATTTAATTGAATCACGCTGCATTGAGAAATAAGTTGGGCAGTGAGAGTTGTCTTCTGGGGCGAATAGGTCGACCTCTGCCCTCCCAAAGACAGACCAAATTTTCTGAACCGTCTGAGGATGTAGGGTCCATTCTCCCGTAGCTACATTGCCTCTGGACAGCATGTCTGTGCCCACATTCAGACTGCCTGGCACATGAACTGCTCTTAGCCAAGAGGAGTTTGTTTTGGACCCAAAATAGGAGGCATCAAGCCATCCTGTAAAGGGGGCGTAACCTGAGACCACATTGGCGATTGATATAAGCATCCACCGTCGTGTTGTCTGACCAGACCAGGACGTGGTGCCCTTCCAAGTCTGGCAGAAAGGTTTTCAGGGCCAAGAAAACCGCCATCAGTTCGAGGCAGTTGATATGCTGGCATTGCTCATGGGTCGACCAGGAGCCGGACGCCGGATTGCCCTCTAACAGTGTGCCCCAACCCGAGTTGGAGGTGTCTGTTGTCACTTACCTTCCTCCTGGAGGCCAGTCCCAGCTGCAAAGCTGACTGAAACAGGCGGGGAGTTGTCCAGGGCGCCACAGCTCTGATACAGCGGTGGGTTACCCTGATATAAAACCGGCCCAGGCTCCAAGCATGCGACGGGACGCCGGCTTTGAGCCAAAACTGAAGAGGCCGCATGTGCAGCAGGCCTAGAGGAATCACAGAGGAGGCGCCCACCATGAGGTCGAGCAGCCTCTGAAAAACTTTGAGGGGACGTGAAGTCCCTGGTTTCAAAGATGGCGCCAGTTGCTGAATAGTCAGGGACCGCTCCTGCGTAATCCATGCCCGCATCTTGGCTGAGTCTATGATTGTCCCCAGAAAGACAACCTGCTGTCTGGGTGACAACTGACTCTTGGGCAGGTTGATTCTCAACCCGAGTCACTCTAGGTGGCTGAGTAACAGTGCCCTGTGAGCGACTACCTCCTGTTCTAATCTGGCCAGAACCAGCCAATCCCAGAGGTAGTTCAAAATGCTGATTCCCATCTGTCTCAGAGGGGAAAGAGCCGCGTCTATGCACTTCATAAAAGTGCGAGGGGCCAGAGATCATTTACATTTACATTTAGTCATTTAGCAGACGCTTTTATCC